TCCCGCTTTTTGACAGTGATAAAAACGGAAGTCTGCAAGAAATTACCAAGACCTTTGAAGGTGCAGAGGCTTCAAAAATAAATACTAGGATAGTAATAATTTTCCCATTGCTCGTAACGACAACAATGTGCCAAACAAGTCTCACAAATCACAAACGCAGTGTATGTCGAGAAGATCTATCCCAATTTGCTGCACTGCGGATATTTGCGGTTTTTACTACTCAATCGCCGGTGACACTAATTATGAAAAATTCAAAAAAACACACATGAAATGATATAAAAATATCTTTAATTAATTGTAGACAGGTTGACTAAGTTTTATAATAACACAGTTATTGTATCACGATTTTTTATAAGGATTGTTATGCAAATCAGATGTATTGTTAGACAAATTAGGCGTGATGCTTGACATGGAGTCTCACTTAAGTGTATCTTTACATTAACTGACTAGACATTGCTACATTGCAGGTATGCTATGGTATGATATACGGCATTGGAACTAAAGCTTTAGGTGAACAATTGAAAATCTCTGATGATGATGCTGGATGCTTCATTGAAAGTTTCAAGTCTAAATATACAGGTATGTGTAGAACTATCTTAGAGAAACTTGTGATCTCTGATTGATGTAACTGAGCAATCCTCCTTTGTAGTAATAGTAGAACATGGCAAGAGATAATGTTTATTACAAGTGACAGAGTGCTTCCATGAATGGAAATGATATAAATGGGTATAAGATAAAATAAGATAATTCTTGATTACAACCTTATAGAATGAATTACATATCTATTTTGGTTTATAAAATGTAATAAAGGTGTTAAAATAAACATATCAAGTTAGATATCTAAAGTCTACTACAATACAGATACATGTAATAATGTAATTCAAGCAGATAGCTGTGTTTGGTTGGCTAGTCTTTATTGTTAAAAACATGTCATTGACATTCAGATCATGGTAATCAGATCAAATCAAATCAGATCACCTTTCATTCATCCATCTACATAACAGAATCGCATATCAAAAGATTACTTATATTGGAAGGGTATTTTACATTTTACTCTTAGTATTAGTTCACTAATCAACTAGTTTTCTATGTAAAATCTATACAGAAGTACACCTGCCTAATTCTAGGCAGTAGAGATGACATGAAATTATTTGAATGTGTTTGTGTAGTATGTTGTATTATATGTAAAATAAAGTTTATTAGTTCCTGTTCGAACAAAGTTTGTTTGTCCATCCATCCATTCGTCCAGAGTCATATTTCAGAACCCTGTGGACCAAATCTGTTCATTCTTTGCATGTGTCTAGTACTTTATCTGGGACATATGCACATGCAGTGGTTTACTGATTCAATCCAAGATGGCTGACTGACAGCCATTTTGTTTTTGAAATTGTTTTACATTGGTTTGTTATATACATTGTACATTTTAGATAACATGTTCATGACAATTTGTTTTACAATCAGCCAACTGGCGACCATCTTGCTTTTTGACCATACTACTATATCTCCAAGGCTTATTGACCATTTTCATTCATATTTGGCATAGACATGTTTTGATTTTGAAGAGTCATTTAATGACTCTCAATTACTAACTATATAACTATGTAAATTATTTTTATAGAAAAATTACATTATACAATTTTGTACTTGTGCAGCAGTGCTGTTCTTATTAGCTTCCTTAATTGTACCATATTTGCTGCTCCCGAATATTCATCCATACTGCTTGTATGTTGCTTTTCTCTAGGTCTGAAGACTTACATGAAAGAGACAATAGCATTTTGTAAAAAACATGGTTATGTACAAACTATAAAAGGTAGAAAACGTTTCCTACCTGCTATCCATGATACCATTATACATGCTAGAAGTCAAGCCGAGAGACAAGCAGTAAACACCACTGTGCAAGGGTCAGCAGCTGATCTAGTTAAAATAGCTATGATAAATATTGATAAGAGACTAGCTGAAGTGTTTCCTGACACCAAAAGACCACATAGAATGGAAAATCAAACAAAGACTGGTAAGTACTGTACATTATTACATATGTACTGCAGTTTATTTTGATTCGCCCCTGAAATCAAAATCGGTATTTCCACACCTCATATGCAAATGAGGTCTGAGACCAAACAAAGTAGTTTCTTCAGGAGTACCATTTTTCCAAACATAGCAGAAATAAACAATATTAAGAAGTACGATATTTTTCTCTTGGGGTACATGAATATACTTGCCGAGTGAAATGAAATTTGAACAACAGTAATGGTACCTTTAGCCAGTCACTTATTTTGACAAACCTAATTTGCATATCATCCATGCAATAATGTTTTCGGTATTTTCACGATCGATATGCAAATGACATGGTATTTCCATCGGCTACCAAACTATTTTTATTTTGTAAACACATTTTCGTCTGCTATTTTTGTTCGGTTCAAATAGTCAGGCAACATTTTTGGCGTGTTAGGTGTACATCACATGGAATACTATGATTGGGAGAACTTAATGTATGTTGACCAACTGGAAACTGAGTTTTATAAACCTTGAAGGGCTCTCCGAAGATCCACCAGCAGTGAAATCAGATTACTATGCAGTCGCAACCATCAACATCGAGATACAAGGTTTCTGCTAGCGACGTTGTGGCGTTACTCAGTTCCAAATAAAAATTACCAACGGCAAAAGAGCAACATTTTAACCGGTAACCAAGACTCAGTCAATCCAAGACCAGCAAGCAACATCACACACGAAGTGGTGGCGTGCAGCTTAGCTACAACTGCTGTCAACGAAAGTCATCCCGTCAGTGGAGTACCGCAGTTGCACGGCATGTTTGCCAATGCACAATTCTGTGGCGGAACTTTTAACTTCAACATAAACTCTGTAC